TCTGAGGCGCCCGCTCTCAGACGAAGTAAATCCATCTTGTTGTCCAAAGAGCGGACATTCGACAGAAAGAGAGACGGCATGGGGAGTTTACCGGCTTTAGCGTTAGCTCGTAGCCTCACCATAACCCCCGCCCGGCATCCTCTCCTCTTAAGCCGGGAGCAGCGCTTCCTCTTCTGCCCGCTGGAACGCCTCTGCTGCAGCTTGCACGTAGATGACTTTAAGATCTGCATTCTGCCGAGCGTAGCTTTGAGTTTGTTGCTGATTTCTGTTATATTTCGTGGCAAATCCGCTCCTATTCTCATCAGTTCGGTTCAGCTGTAGTTCACACGCATAAATCGCGCGGAGTCAGGCACAGAGTCAATATCAAAACTTCTAAAAACTGGGATGGTACCGGGAGCCTGTGAAGCTGCAACTGCTCTGAGCGCGGCCATCTTGATGTTATTACTGTTTTTCTTATACATTTTATTGTTGGATGTAACTGGGACCCTGTGTACATAATTTTGCTCCACCACATGTACCACATGAGGTGCGAATGACAATAAAGAAACTCTGACTCTGACGTGTGTACGTGTTAGTGCATCCTCACTTAAAAACCCTAAATGTTGGGTTACAGTACACTTTTGAAGCAGCCACTGCTGCAGCTTTGTTTTCCTACTTGATAATGATTAAAATGTGCAGGCATGGCTGACTGATGATTTTTATGAAGTGACCAATATCAGCTGATTAAAATCAATCAGCCAATCAATCAGTAGTCTATCTTCTGTCATCTAAACCAGATGTGGCTATCAAGGCCAATGAGGAACTGTTGGAAGACCAAACATATCATTAAAATGAAGAACATGAATACATGGTACCTGAAATATAACAGTCTATGTGACTTATTGCGCTCCAAGCAGTCTGTTGTTAATCGTGCACTCACTAATACAGCAATGACGATTATATATATTTTGCATATTGTGCAGCCTCATGAAGCCTAACAGATTAGTTTGACCCAAGGTGGATAATTATATTAACAAACTAGTGCATTCTGTGAGGTGTCTTTAAAACAACTGAGTCTTAAATTAACTGCTTTGGATGCTTATTTTAGTTAATCAAGACTTAGTATGATTCAGTTCAGATTTTTTGTTAAAATAAATGTTTTCTTCAGGTAAACAATATCAGAAATGTTTTTTCTGTTGTTGTTTTTTACTGATAAAAATTGACTAATGAATTTGTGAAACACTGCGGAGCTGTCACTACAAAAGACAACCACATTTTCACAAAGTCGCTGTAAACAGCTCAAACAAACCGGCCCTA